AGGGCCCACGCGCCGAGCCTGCCGGGCAGCGAGCCTGTTCCGTGGGAGCGCCCTCCTGTGGCCACACCGCTGGGCGTGACGGAGCAGAGCCCTTCCGAGGACTTGTTCTCGCTTTGGTCCTGAAGGGCTTCCTGGGCGGGGGGGCGGGGGGGGGAATGGGAGCGGGCGGGGCTGGGAGGCTGCCCGCAGAAGTCGGAGAGTCTGGGCTCTGCGTGCTCCTGGAGGCAGAGTCAGGGCCACGGCTACAGGTGGTGATTTCCCCGTCACCCGGGGTAATCAAGCAGAGGCTGAAGGTGCCAGGAAAGATTCTTACAAGAGGTGAGACACTCTCTGGGTGAGAGCAACCCGGGGCATGGGGATAAAGTGAAGAGACGAGCCCTGGTCCTCACCTGCTGCTGCTGGTACCCAGGGCCCTCTGGTGGCAAAGAGGGCCACCTGGGACCGGCGGGCTCAGCAGGCGCCAGTGGGCAGGGCACCGCCCACACACGGTCCCCTCGTGTCACTGTGGAACCCTCCCTCCCCGTGAAGGGGGGCCCATTAAACCCCTCTTGCGGGGGAACAGGAGCTCAGAGAGACCAAGAAAGTTGTTCCAAGACCCAGAGGCAGGGGGAGGCAGATTCGGAGCCCGAACCTTTGTCTTTCTGGCTCTCGGGCCTCTCTGTCCTTTCCTCTTCTCAGGTGGCCCGGGGACAGGGGAGGTGAGGAGGGAAAGAAGCCGACGAGCCCCAAATGCATCCTCTGTGCTTCCCAGGCCCGGCCGGGGAGGGGAGGGCGCACTAGTGAAAACTTCACCAGCTGCTGCGAATCGATGTCAGAGCTGCTGTGAAGAGTTAGGAGCCAGGTGAGCGCTCTGTGTGCCCAAAGGTGAAGGGCACCTGAGGCGCGCAGGTAGGAGGCCCCCGGGGTCAGCAGACCCCGTAATCCCATCCGGCTCCGCAGCCCTCGGGCAGGTGTCCTGGGGGGGCAGCTCCACTGCCCGCTCTGTTTATCACCCGGCGGAAACCCCAGCAGCCACCAACATCCCCTGCCCGCCTCCTGGGCTCTCGTGAGAATCAAACTGGATGGGGCACAGGAAGTAACTTAAACAGTACAACTGGGGCTTCCAGTGAGGGGCGCCCTCCCCGGCTGGGCGCGAGGGAGGCCCCCGGCGGCAGGGGCACAGGGCCGCGCGTCTGCGGCTTCGGGCTGGGGCAGGGCCAGGCTGAAGGGGGACCCGTTCTGCCTGCTCTGGACGCTCAGTCTGGCTGGGAGGCAGGCAGACAGCACAGCTCACCGACCGCTCCCCCGGAGGACCCAGATTTCCCAGGCAGCGCCCCCACAGGCTGCCCCGGGGCCCCAGGCTCTCGCTGGGGCGCGGTCAGTGCTGTGAACCGTCCTGAGCTCCGGGCTTTTAGGACGGTGGCCGGAAGGCATCACGCAGAGGGCTCGGTGGCTCTCACTGACAGACGTGACATTTAGGAAGCGATGGACCACAGAGGGGGCAGCAGCCATGAGCCGCCGTGGTTGCCCCGGCGTCTCCTCTGGGCATCGCCCAGCGTGCTAGGCTGAGTAAGAATCCGGGCGAGAGCGTGGGAGCTTTGGCCCCAGAGTCACGCCCTGGGCTCGAGGCGGGGGGTGGGGGGTGCGTTGAGGCCGAGGCCGGGCTGGATGGATGGGGCGGGGGGGCTGGGCTCCAGGGACAGTACCCGGGCAGCGTGCCGGTTGCCCAGGGCGGTGTGAGGCCTTCTGGGAGAGAGTGGGGAAGGAGGGCCCCCCAGGTCGCCCACACCTGCATGCCGGTCACTCAGTGCACAGCACGGTCCCATCGGGGGGACAGGAGGCCAGGCAAGCCCCGTGCTGCACCCCGCTGGGAAGGTTTCAAAGAGGGGGTGCAGCTGCGTTTGTCTACTTACCCTGCACATCCTGGGGGGAGAGGTCTCCCTGGGGGGCCGCAGCCTGCTGGCCCCCCTCGGCCGTGTGTGGGACAAGTCCTGGGGGCTGGGAAGGGCCAGAACCCAGGGTCCCTGTTCAGCCAGGTGATGGCCTTCGGAGGTCCCCCAACTATGCGAGGGGGGTCGCAGTGAGCACGCTGGCTGGTGACCCCATGGCTGCAAACCACGTGGGTGCAGGCGGGACCCCTTCCTTCCCAGGCTGCAAATCCTGCTCCACTGTGGAAGTGCCCGAGTGTGCAAATCCACTCCACCACTGAGAGGGCCTGAGTGTGCAAACCCTACCCCACAGCTGGAAGGGCCCAGGCGCAGGGATCTGCTGTCTGTCCAGACGTGGCGTCCCGTGGAGGCGGGGCTGCTCCCGGGGGACGGGTCACCCACTGGAGCAGGGTAGGATGGGGGGGAGAGGGGAGAAATCTGGCCAGATCCTCTTACTTGCCAGGTTTGCCGCGTCTGCCTGTGTGGGGGGCAGGGAGGCCCAGGTCACATGGGCAGAGGCTCTGGGGCTGGCCCTCACCCCGCAGCTCCGCTGGGAGCAGGCGCACCCCCCCCCCATAGAGATGATCTCGGATTCTCACCCATCCGTGGGGGTAGACGTGATCGCCCTCGCTTCTACAATGGGGAAACTGAGGCCCTAAAACGCAGGTGACTTGCCCACACAGCTGCGTAGTGGGAGGGGAAGGCGAAATGCCCCCCTGAGACCCAGCCCCGGCTTTCTCATTCGGCGTCTCCTGCCATCGGGCAGAGGCTCAGCACACATTTAATCGGCGACGTGGCTGAGCTTGGCCCTGGGCTCCTCATGGAACTCCCCGGCCCCCCCCCGGCCCTCCTCGGGCTGTCCCTCCCAGCAGGAGCCCTGCTGGACCGGGCAGAGCCCCACCCGCCGCCCTAGGCACACCACACGGCACGGCTCTCGTCGGTCTCAGAACGAAGCTGCTCTTTGGCCAGAAGAAAGAAAACTGCCTGCTATTGCCTGTCCCTGGGGAGACGCGCCGTCCCACTCCTTCCTTGTGCTGGCTCTGCACAACACGAAGAAACGTTTCTTCTTATTTGTTCTAAATTTACTGTCCAGTGAGCCTTCTGTCCTCATTTCATGTGACAGGCAGCCAAGTGATTTTCTCCCAGCCCTTTCCCTGAATCCCAACCACCCCCATAAATCGTCCCTGACGCCTCCTCTCCGCTCCTAAAAGGAAAAATCACCCAAGCTTTGGTTTGCGGGGAGGGGGCGGCTTCTCCCCTGAAAACGCCACCGTGCCTGAGGGCGACCTGCCCGGGGCCCCACGGGCTGAGGTTGGGGCCTGAGCGCGGGCAGGCGGAGGTTAGGCCGCCGCCGCCGGCAGCGCCGAGAGCCCGTGCGTTTCATCCGAGGAGGGCTCTGCGGGACCCAGGCTCTGGCACTGAATGCTCACGAGGGGACAGGCGGCTGGACCAGCCCCACCTCGGCAGAGGCGGTGCCCATGCCAGCAGGCGGGGAGGGAAGGACCTGGGAAGGGGTTGCCAATGGTTTCTGAGCGGGGGCTTCAGGATGTTTACAAGGATATCAGCTCCCCCGCGGGGGCGGGAGGGGCGGGTGCTGAATTAGGGAGGGAGTCAAAGGTTTGAGGACTGAGTGATTCAGGGGGTGGGGGCGGGCTCTGGGGGTGGCCTTGAACCTCCTGCCTCAGGGAGGAGAGAAGAGGAGGGACGCACTGCGGGGGACTATCGCAGGCAGCCCCCGCTGGCTGTGGGTGCTGCTAGGTAACCCCGAAGTCCTCTGTGCCTCTGTCTCCATGGGGTGCTGGTGCGGAGAGCTGACCAGTGACTGCATTAGAGTGGGGTCTGGCACAGAGCGAACACTGGAGAAATGTTACCGTTTCCACTTCGTTTAATGCAAAAGGCAGCTGAACGCGGGTGGGGGAAAATAGCTTGGCCCAAGTCCCAGTCAGTAGGGCTAGAACGGCGGCGCTCCAGGGCACACGAGCCACTCCCGCAGCGGCCACCAGAGGGCGCCCCGGCCTCGGGACCGACGGCCGCCTGGGCGCACCTGTAACACCAGGCGGGGAAGCGTGAGCCAGACAGACGCTGCGCCCGCACCTGGTAGGAAGGACAGTCCAGGCTACAGTCCGTGCCCCCTCACTCACCGCTCAGTGAGCTTTCACACACGGTCGTTTCTTTAGCTTGACTGTTCCCTGTTCGCTTGCCCCCAGCCGCGCTGGACTCCGGCGCGGGGCCCAGGAAACCCGCACTCCTGCCGCGGGACAGAGTTGACGCGGGGAAGGGGGCCCTCTATCAGCAATTTGCGGTGGGACCTCTGGTGGTCGCCAGATGGCGGCGGGGGCGCAGGGGCAGAAAGGGAGAGACCAGGCGGAGGGAACAGCACAGGCAAAGGCACAGAGGCAACAGCCCGGGAGAGCAGGTGCGTCCTGGCGTGAGGTGCGGGGCAGAGACTCTGAGCAGAGACCCCCAAGCTTCCCCTGCCTGCTGCTCACGAGACCCCTCGTGCCCCGGGGGGCGGGGTGGGGAGTAGCCTGCACCAGGCCCCCCTGCCCTGGGCGGCGTCGGGGTCGGGGGACCGCTGGTGCCTGACCCCAGGGACACAGGAGTCAGGAAGGGAGGAGGGTCACCCAGATCCTCGCAGTTCTCATGAGGTCAGAGGCTGGCATGACGTCACCCGACCCTCGGTCCTGTGCTGTCCCTGTGGCGGGGCCTCAGGAAGCCACACCCGAAACTCAGGGGGCACCGCCTACCCAGACACGGGCACGCAGTGGTTCACGAGGGGGTCGCACGCAACCGGGCCCCCGCAGCCCTGAGCGCGTGGACAGCTTCCCCTGCGCCCCCTGGCCCCCGCAGTTTCCACCTTCCTCCCAGCTGTCCCCACTCTGGGGCCCCACCAGGTGTCACGGCATCATTGGGGCGGGCGAGGTTTCCCCAGGAGCGGGTCCAAGGGGTGGGGGAGGGAGGTCGGGGTCCGAGAGGGGCCGGGGAGTGGATCCAGGCCCCGTCTCGATTGCCTTGGTCCGTCGTGGGCACCCCTGGGCGGAGGGGGCACGGCTGCCACCGCACCTGGCTGACGGCTCTCTTCTCCCGGCACAGAGGCACAGAGCTTCGGTTTGCTGGACCCCAAACTCTGCTACCTGTTGGACGGGGTCCTCTTCATCTACGGCATCATCATCACCGCCCTGTTCCTGAGAGCGAAGGTAGGCTCTGGGGGGAGGGCGCGGCCCCCCTCGCCGGACGTTTGGGGGGCCTTTGTCTTGCGAAGTCTCGAGCGTGGGTGGCGCCTATGGCTTGGTGTCCATGGGCAAAGCAGGGACCAGCCCAGCGAGCCCACTGGGTGGGCTGGGGAGGTGGGCAGGGGTGCGGGTGCTGGCCACCTTGCTGAGGAGCAGTGACATGCGACACCTCGGTTGGGGTGGCAGGAGCTGCTGGAAGGAAACGGCCTTATACTTCGGTCACTCCCCAAGTCCGCTGACCGGCAGGCCGAGCAGGTCCCTGGCGGGAGGTGGGAGGGACCCCCAGCAGGGTTCCGGGGGCCGCCTCGCAGGGCCTGGATGTCTTGGAGGGGCAGGGGCGGAGGCGGGGTGGGGGGAGTGGGCAAAAGAGGTCCTGCGAGGAAGGAAGCCCCAGCCCACGTCTGCTTTGGGGTTGAGACTTCGGTAAAGTCTTCTATTGGAAAAGCAGAGTTGTGCGGACTCTCTGTTTCGATCCAGAGAGTCCCTCAGGGGACCTGTAGGGCTTGGCAGAGTCTCCTCTGAGGCGGAGCAGGGAACGCGCGGCTCGCGTGCCCTGGGCGGGTCCTCGGCACCCAACACCGGCGCCAGGCAGGGCACAGGAGTGGGACCCTGTGCCGCCAAGGGCCACCCTGGTGCCGGGAGAAAGGGCCCGCGAATATGCTGCGCGACCCCGAGCCGGGGAGGGCGCTGCGCAGAGAGCGGCCCGACGCCTGCCGGGCCAGAGCGGGGCTGCCCGTGTCCCCGCGGGGTGGGGGGCAGGGCGCAGTGGGGCGCAGACGGGGCGCGCGGCGGCTCCCCGCTCGGGCACTCACGCTGTGCTGTCCCCTCTCTTCCAGTTCAGCCGGAGCGCGGACGCCGTGGTGCACGGGCAGGGCCCCGGCCAGCTCTACAACGTGAGTCCGCTCTGCCGCGCAGCCCGCGGGGAGGCGCGGGCCTCGGGCGGGGTGCGGCGGGCGCGGACAAGGGGCGTCCTCCGCGCCACCCGGAAAACCCAGGCGGTACCGCACCTGCCTCGTGGGGGCGCTGCAAGGCCGACAGGCTCTCGGGACTGGGCGCTGGAAAGGCCCGCTTCCCGGAGCCCCGCTGGCGGGTACGCACAGCCGGGCTGCGCGCCGGGCACAGCCGAATTGACCACCGCCCCCGCCGCCCGTGGTCACACGCCGCGAGACGTGCTGAGACGCTGGGACCCGGGGACCAGTGCCCGCCGCCCCCATCCCTGCTTTCCCTGAGAGCCCCACCAGGGACCTCCCAGCCCAGCCGGTCCCCGGGGGGCCACCCCGTCCCCGACACGTCCCTGTCTGTTTCAGGAGCTCAATCTGGGACGGAGAGAGGAGTACGACGTTCTGGACAAGAGACGCGGCCGGGACCCGGAGATGGGGGGAAAGCAGGTAGGGCATTCCTCTCTCTGGCCGGGCGGGCGCGTGAGTGTGAGCACGGGCGTGGGGGGCGTGGGGCACGGAGGGCGGCCCCTTCCACGCCAGCACACGCTGTCCCCGCCGCGGACCCTGCCTCCGAGGGTCCGGCCTCAGTGCGGGCCTGGGGGAGCGCGCGCCGCCCTCCCGTCCCAGCTCCCTGCCCTCAGACTGCTCATGGCCCCCGAGATGCGCCCACGGTGGCACCCCCTGCCCCAGCGGAGCAGACCTGGGGAGGCCACACAGGAAGGGGCTCTGGGTCCCGGGGACCCCTGTGACCGTGGTCGCCGGGCACCTCTGTCCCCTGGCTGTGCCAGGGGAGCCGCTGGATGAGGCCAGGACAGGCCCACCTGTCGCCCCCCAGGGACCCCGACGTTTCCAGCCGCGCCTCTGCGAGCAGCCCCTGCGCCCGCCACCCCGCCCTCTGAGCTCTGTGTGGGGTGCGCTGTTGTTAGAGTGAATGGCGGGGGGACCCCAGTCTCCTTGATGCCCCCCCAACCCTCCAACCTCAGCCCTCCTCTCCTGGCCTGGACCGGGGAGGGGGGGCGGTGAGCGGGGGTGGGGAGGGAGGGTCCGTGGGCCCTGCTGCGGGGCGGCTGCCGCCTCCAAATGGGGATACTTGATCTCTTTCGTCTTCAGCAAAACCCCGCCTGTAGGCTTGTGACACAAAGGCCAGTAGATTGGCCAGGGCACAGCTGGGCCACCAGCAGACAGCCCGCTCTGCCTGGGGGAAGGACTCGCCGCCCCATTGGGAGGGCCCAGCATGCGGGCGAGGCTGCGGAGCCATGGGAGGGACAGGCCCACGGTGGGGGGGCCGGGGGAGCGGCTCTCCCCGGCCACAGCTTCCACACCTGACACTGCTGTCCCCCTGCTTCCCATCCCTGCCAGCAGAGGAGAAAGAACCCGCAGGAAGGCGTCTACAACGTGAGTACAGCTGTGGGGGGCCCCTCTGGTCACTCCCGGGCCGCTGGCCCCCTGCCCCTGAGCCCTGCCCACGGTGGCACGGATCGGGGTGGGGCGCCTCGGGCCCAGGCTGGGCCAGCCCCTCCGAGGGGCTCCTGTTCCTCCTGAGTGTCCCCTTTCGCGGGAGGGCTGACCTCACCATTGCGGTGCGGGTGTGAGCATGCTGCTCACAGGCTGTTGGGCTGGGTCGGCCGCCGACGGGGCCCTGGCGGGGCGGCCTGTCAAGGGCTGTCCCCCTCCCCGGGCAGCTGGTCGGCAGCTCACTCACATACATGGTTCCGGGGCCCTGGGCGCGCCCCGCGTTGCCTGCCGTTCACGTCCTTTGGCTAAAATGCCACATCTTGTCCTTCTGAGCCGCACCTGGCGGCCCAGAGGGCGGGCGGGGGCTGGGTGCTGGCAGATGTGTGAGTGAGGCCTGGAGCCCCCTGCGCGGGGCCCGCGTCGGCCGCAGTGGGGGACCCGTGGCCTTGCCCCCTCTCCAGGCGCTGCAGAAGGAGAAGATGGCTGAGGCCTACAGCGAGATCGGGATGAAAGCCGAGGTGGGTGTCGCTCTCAGTGCCCAGGGCTGGGGCGGGGGGCAGGGGCGCTCCCCGGCGAGCCTCCTGGTCCTCCACCCCCGCCTGCCGCGGGCCTCCATCCCGCCCGTGCGCTCCCGCCTGCCAAAGCCACGTGGTGGCCGCGGGGGCGAAGGTTAAACCATCCCCCCAGCCACGGGTGCACAGAAGACACGACGGAGAGCCCTGCGCCCCGTGAGGACTTAGCCCAGGCCCAGGCCCCAGGACGGCCTCAGGCTGGAGCCCTCGGCGCAGGGCTGGCACCGCCGACAGCAGCGGCACTCGCTCACGCACGCCCGGCGCTCAGGACCGCAGGCCCTGGCCACAGGGATGAAGAGCTTGTGCAGACCGGGGCCGCGACCACACGGAGCTGCTGTCCCGGCAGCTTCGCGACCAGCCAGGATTACAAGGGCTGCACAGAGACCCATTTACCCCGGTGGCCAGCGGCACAGCCTGGAGTCTGTGCGGGTCTGAGTGGGCAGAGCGAGCCCGGGCCGCCTCGGCCTGTGCCGAGGGCTGGGCCTGACCAGCAGCTCGCAGCCCCTTCGGTCCGGGGCGGGGGTGCCGGGACGGAGGCTTCCGGCTCTGCGGCGCTCGAGCGCGTGGGCAGCCTCTGTGGACGGCCTGACCGGCCCCTCTCCTGTCTCTCTCCCGCAGAACCAGCGCCGCAGAGGCAAGGGACACGATGGTCTTTACCAGGTAAGGGCCGTCTGCATGCCAGGCGGTCTGCTGGGGGCCGCCCCCGGGCGGGGCCTGGCTCCCGCCTGCTCCTGCGGACAGACACCGGGCAGGGCGAGCCGGGGGCTGGGGCTCAGCTCTTCAGGCACGCGGCTGGGTCCCCCGGGGGCTAGCAGCGCCCCGGACACTGGCCCAGGGAGCCAGGCAGCCTCTGCCTGGGGGCTGTGACAACTCCCTGAGGCCGCCCTCCAGCCGTGAGGCCTCTCCCCGCACGGCCCACTCCGCCTCTCGGAGCCCCAGACCTAAGAAATGGCAAGAAGGGTGGGGGGCAGAAAGGAAAAAAATCAAGAACAGTAACAAGTTTGAAGAGAAGATGCTGCAGGCAGGGGGCGGGTTTATGCTAATCAGTGGGGATGGCCCAGCAAAGGTCACCCCAGGGCTCTCCCCTCACTGTCGGCTGCCCGGGTGGTCCCAGCTCACAGTGATGTCACAGGGGCCTGGGATGTGGCTGGGACCAGCCTGCCTGTGGCGCCGTGGCCCTGGAAGGGCCGGGCTCCGTGCGATGAGTCTCTGGAGGCCAGGGGGCTGGTGGGCACAGCGCTGTGGGGCCTGGCGCCTGGGGAGCAGCGCGGGGTCAGCAGGAGGGGGGCTGCCCCCGCCGCGCCTGGAGGGCACAGAGCCGGCTCCCGGTGGCCGAGCGGCTGGGCCCCGGGCCGCAGGGGGGTGGGCTCGAGCCCAGACGGGCCCCAGCCCACTGTCTCCTCTGACTCCCTGTCCCCAGGGGCTCAGCTCGGCCACCAAGGACACCTATGACGCCCTGCACATGCAGACGCTGCCCCCTCGCTAGCGTCGGGGCGCACGGCTCGCAGGCAGCCCTCTGACACGCGATTGTAAGGCCCGGGAACGCCGCCCGAGACCCCTTCGCTCCCGTTTCTCACCACCGAAGCCTCCCTCTTCCAAACAGGACGCCTCACGCCGTGACATCTGGTCCCGCCCAGCCCCACCCTCACCCTTCACTCACAGGACAGGACCACGGCGCGCCGTGAGGCAGTGCGTGCCCAGGCCGCGGCCTGTCCTCCAGAAGCCGGGGGGCGGGGGGGGTCCTCAGTCTTCTGTCCCGGGACTGCACCTCTTACCTGGGGGGGGGGGGGGGCAGGCACGGTCCTCACGGCCGAGCTGTTTGGTACAGTCCCAGCAGAGCCCCGCACATCAACGCCCATCCTCACAGTCTGTTCTGTTCTGTTGGTTTCGCGCCTGCTGTAAATTTGGCTTCTGTTGTTCCCTGCCCCCGCCCTGCCCAGTAGCCTGTATCGCGGCCAGGAGGCCGGTGTGGCCGAGTGGCTGGGCAGAGCCTGGCACGTCCGCAGCCGCCGGTATAGGTGCAGCTGTGGGGAGGCCCCGGAGCCCCGGCGGCACGGGCCTCCCCTGCCTTCCCGGGGCGCACGCTGGCCTAAAGCCCAGTGTCGGCATCGAGCATGGCCCAAGCCGGGCTGCCAGAGCCGGGCTGCCAGAGCCGGGCCGAGGCCGCACGCTTCCCAGGCTCCTGTTCCCGTCACATGGAGCTCAGGACAAACTCGTCACCGTGCAGGCCTCAAGGGAAGACTCCACAGCACCCGGGCCCGCAAGGCGCCGGGGACAGGGGCCTGGACGGAAGGCCGCCTGCTCAGCCTGGTTTAATTTATGCCGGTTTGCTCAAGCCACCTCTGCCTAATAAACGCTTTGGGGAAACGCTGCTTGAGGCTGGGCTTTATTTCAGCATCTAGTCCCCAGGCAAGCGGGCCGCTGCCTTTGTTGTGGCTACGAAACTGCCCAGAGTCACAGCCAGGCAGCCCCGGCACGCAGAAGGCACAGGCATTCGGCGCCACACAGCGTGCCAGGTGCCGCGGGGGCAGGGGCGGAGGGAAAGGGCGCCTGCACAGGGCTCAGCGCGGCGCCGGCCGCGGGGGTGGGAGGCGAGCCTGAGGGGCCGCCGCGCTCAGGCGCTGGGGCAGGCGGCTCCGCCCTCCGAGGGTGTCGGGGGCGCAGGAACAGCGCCGAGGACAGAGCACCGACCTCCGGCCTCGGGGTTCGGCCCGTCCCCTAACGCTGGGGGAGGGCTTTGGGGCCAATGGCCCCGCTTGCTTGAAAAAAGAAGTCCCCGCTCATGGCTGTTGAAGGTCGAGCGTCTGGGTCTGCAGCAGGAGCAACACGCGTCTCCACCAGACACACACGGCAGCTCTTCTGCGCCCAGCACCTGGCGAGCCCGCGGGGAGGGGAGCAGTATTGCGACTCATCGCAGAGTTAGGGACTTCACACTTTGTCCCTGATTTCAGCCCCATCCTCGGAAAGGAGGCGACACACGCTGCAGTGCCAGGACACTTGGCGATGGGCCGGCGAGAGCGCGGCCAGCGGGCGCAGAGAAGCCCGGGAGGCTGGAGGCGCAGCGCCCTCCGAGGGGGCGGGAGGCCGCAGGTGCGCCACGTTTCACTGCCCTTCCCCACGCGGGCTCCCCACGCGGGCTCCCCACGGCGCGGGCAGCCTCCTCCCGGCTGCGCTGCGTCTCCGCTCACCGTCCTTCCAACCGCTGACGTGGGGCTCGCCGAGCGGTCAGACGGAGTGAGCCTCACGCCGCAGTCTAGCTTCAAGGTCGGCTGAGTCAGGCGACCCGCGTGGCTGGCTTGACATAAGAGTTTGACCCACTGTGCCAAGCATTTGGAGGCACGGCCCGGGGGGACGGGAGGGTGGTGCATGCAGGGTGACCAGAGAGGGGCACCCTGGGGGGGGACTGAGTGACGTGCTGACAGGCCGAGCCCCAGAGCCCAGGTGAGGGGGCCCCATCCAGCCTTTGGAGAGAGAAGGCAGCCGTGAGAGAACTCACCTCTCGAGGGTAAGTCTCCCCGCCGGCAGGCTGCTGCGAGTGGGCTGGGACACACCCGCCTTCCAGGGAGGGCGGCAGGGTCCCAGGCGAGCACCGGCCCTTCACCCTCCCTCCTGAGGATGTGACCGGTGGGCTTTGCCTTCCAAAGTCCTTGTCAGCCCGGTGAGCTCACCACTGTCTCTACCAAACAGGACTCCTGTTAAAAGCTTGAAATGGTTTTAAGTGAGTAACATCAACTTAAATGCAAGCTGTGAATACAAGAAGGGGCCGGAGAAGGGCAGGCGGGGGCCCCAGCGCCCTCCCACGGAGCCCCCACCGCGAGGCGGGCGCGCGCTGCAGAGCCCCTCCCCGCGAGGAGCTCTGCTGAGGCCGCAGTTCTCCGTGTCCCGCGACCCAGGACGGGCCGAGACGCTGCGTGCCGAGCGGAGCGGAGGCAGCAGGAGGGCTCTGCCATGCGCCCTCCGGGGGGACGGGAGACCCGGGGCAGGGGGAGCAACGTGAGGGCAGCTGAAACCCTAAAGCTGGCAAAGGCGAGCTCCGCGTCAGCTCTGCAGCCACGTCCCCAGGGAAAGGGGACTTTGAAGAGCCCTCTCTCGGGGTCAACCAAGGGCCTGCGTGTGTGGCCACAGCAAGCCCCGGGGCCTGAAGCGTCCCCGGCGGCTGGCGCTCCGCCCAACACTCCCAGCCGGGCGGGGGTGCTGGGGGCGCGGAGCCGTGAGCCGGCACCCGCCGCACAGGCACCGGGGAGGGCTGCCGCGGGCGGTCTGTGCGAGGTGCGCGCACGCATGCGTGAGGCCCCCCGGACCTGGGCGTGACACCATCAAAGAAACTCGAACAATGTGAAAACACTTGGAAAAACAGTTTAATGATGTTTTACAACAGAAATGAACTGTACAGTTACAGTTAGGTGTCATATATATAAAAAGTACAGCAGACAAACGCGCCACACAGAACCTAGCCTTTCCTCCCGACCCCGGCCACCTGTGCGGCCTCTCCCGAGCCCGCGGCCCTGCCTGGCGGCAGCCGGGGGTGGGGGCGCCCCAGGAAGGGCACTTTTAAGGAGACAGCACCACGCATTCCCTAACCCCCACCCCCACTCCTCAGGCCTCGGGAGGGATCAGTGACTCCCCCGAAATGTGAAGCTGCTTGTGTTTCCCGAGGGCTGATAACAAGGCCCCCCGATTCCAAGTTATCAGCTGATTCTTATCACCTACCCCTCTGGGTGGGGGTGGGGGAGGGGGACGGCTGCCCGGGCGTTGCTGGGCAGCGAGGCGGCACCCCAGCCACCCGGGTCGCAAGGCCACCCGGGGAGATGGGCAGGGCTCCCGGCCCTCGACTCGGGAGCGGCCGGGCAGCGCTGGGACGGCCACTTACGCCACATCGCGGGTTTCCACACAGGAGAACTCAGACGCACAGTTTAAAGTCAAGTACATAAAACAAGGAGCCCCGGGGGGCCACGGGGCCGCTTCGCCTGTGCCCCCGCCACAACAGTGGGAAACACCCCTGAATCGACATTTGAAGGAAAGAAACAGTGGGGAAGTTATCTAAAGACAGAGAGAAAGAAAACAGCTTCAGAAACACACGACCACCGTGTCTTTAAAACAGAACGAAGCCCCCGGCGGGAGCGGGAATCAGCGGGTCAGCACTCAAGATTGAAGGGGTGAAGTTTATTACTGAACAGTATGTACACGCGAAGGCTTTCATTTTCTGTTATTATGAACACCCAGGCAGTGAAAACTGTTATGTTAATACATACATAGACACACCCAAAACATACAAAAATACTATTATTTCAAACTACTAAGAATAGGACAGTTCAGTTATTTTCATGCTATGACTTTACACTAAACAAATGACAAGTTAAACGACATTTTTTTTTAATATCCCAGAAATATACCAAAATATACATCTAAGCTTTGGAATTACTGAGGTTAGACTAATGCAAGTGCTGGGTAATCGTACTTAATACACAAGTCTAAGGTTCCGCAGGACAGAAATCATCTTTGGTATCTGCATCAGGCTAATATTATTTATTAACATTTGGATTTTGCTTTGGGATAGAGCTTGTATGACCCTAGAACCAAACCCCCCCCCCCCAACCAGCTGAGATTAAAAAGAGCCGTGTAAAAAGTTCCTTCACTTGCACCCCCCGCCCCCCAGGTAAAAAGTCACAGGCATCTACCCAGCACAGGAGGGTGTGACGGACGATGCATAGTTGCACAGTGCACTGCAGGAAGAGACCAGCCATGGGGGGGACAGCTCAGCAACCGCTCTGCACGCATCTCACACAGGGGACGGCCGCCTCCCGGCAGCCCCCGGGGAGGGACAGGGAGAGAAGGCTCCGCAGGCCCGGGCGTGCCCCTCGCCCGCACCCAGAGGTTAGCACCCGGCAGAGCGGCCAGCCCGCGCGGGGCCTCCGGCCGCCCCCACGCGGTGGAGTCCGGCGCGGGCAGCGCCCGCCCTGCGCGTCCCGGGCCAGCCCTGCCGTGACCGAGGTGGTGTGGGTGGAGGACCACGGCACCGGGGCTCCGTCCGCGGGGATGCCCGTCTGCGCCACGGCGCGCTCACCGGGTGGCCGGAGCCCGAGCGCGCCTCTGCAAACCCGCCGGGAGGGCAGCCGCCTGCCGGCCTCACTGCGCTGCCGGCCAGGATGCCACAGACTGGGTCGGCACCGAAGACTGCCCTTCTCTTTGGTTTTTTTTTGTTTGTTTTGAGTTTATACAATCATTAAGAAATCTTTGGTTTTGGCTGGAAATTTAAAAAACAAAAACAAAACCAAACAAAGAAACCGCCCTCCCTGGCGTACAGTGGCGGCGGCGCGAAGACCTGGCGGCGCTCTCCGACACGGGGTGGGGACCGAGGCTGAGCTACATTCAAAGGAAAGGGGACCGGGCTGGGGGCGCAGCTCCTGGGAGCCATGGGACATAAGATTGTCAACTTATAACAATAATAATAACAACAACAACTTAAATATTTGGATTTCTTTTGGTCTCGTCAAAGGAACAAAAGTGAAACGTGTGTGCAGCAGTCGGCGTAAAGGGGCC